TGTGTAGTGTTATTAGTCTGTTACTAGACAGTGGTGCTCATTACTCAGCATTGCAAACTTCATTCCAACTGAGGAGTCTCTGCCATTAGGTTCAGTTCTTTTTTTTAAAAATTTTATTTGTTATTTTTATTTTATGTGTATGCGTGTATTGCCTGCATGTAGGTAAGTGCACCCGTCTTGCGCAGTGCCCATAGAGGTCAGAAGAGGCAGTTGGATCCCCTGGGACTGGAGTTATAGACAGTTGTTAGCTGCCATGTGGGTGCTGGGATTTGAACCTGGGTAAAACAACCAGTGTTGTTAACCGCTGAGCCATCTCTCCAGCCCTGTAAATAATGTGTTTTGCTCTGAGAAATAGAATAGGGGGATGGCACAGGACAGGGTCTTGTTGTGTAGACTGATCTGACCCCCAAACTCATGTCTGTCTCATTCCTCCCAAGTGCTGAAACTGGATACAAGTGCCACCCTGCCTGACTTAGAATAGAATATTTTAGAAAATTGTTACTCCGTTGGGGCAGGTATAATGTTTTATATTCCATTAAAATTAGATTTGCAGTAGTTCAGAATTACGTTCATTTTAGAGAGTGTGTACATAACCCACACATAGACCAACTGATAGTCTGAAAACCAGTTAGTCACTGTGAAGAATCCCATAATCCCTCAGATTCTAAGAAATACAGCTGATTCTAGTTATTTGATGATCATGGTCTATAAAATGTTAGCACTGACTTTGCAAATACAGAATCATTGTTCCTACAGGCACTAAGTCCCAACATTGCCATTTTCCAGTCAACACATGTCATTGTTTTAAGTTTTTTTTTTTCATAAGAGTACTTTAAGTATATTGTTAGTTCATTTACACTTAACTCAGGCCCAGTAGCACTATTGATTCATATCTGAACACGTTATCTAACACATCCGTATTATATATGGGGCATGTAATAGGATTCTTTTTTTTTCACTCAGGAACACTACATAGCACTTGAGTGTGACAGGCCATCTCAAAGAGCAGAATCACTAGCAGAATAAAAAAGTGAAAAGCAGTAGAAATAAATAGACCAAGAAAAGAATGCTTGTTAGAGCTGAAACAAGAAGGCCTGAACTGGGATCATGTTTCCAGACAGCTTTAAATTTTTACTGTTCTGCACATATCTGAATTGAGTGTTGACTTGAAGTTAGAAATACGTTTTACCAAAAGGCAAATTCACATATCATGGAATCTGCAAATAATGATTAGTTATTTACATCTTGTATAGAATATGCTTTGAGAAGAAGTTGCTTAAGTTTAAGCAACTTAATTAAGCAATAGAAATAAAATTACTTTTAATATTTATTTATTTATTTATTTATTTATTTATTTATTTATTTATTTAAAGGGCTTTTGGGACCTTCTTGCTTCCACCTCCACAAGGCTGAGGCTAAAGGTGTGCACCACCATGCCTGGCCTTGTTAATATTTATTTTTAATAAATATATATTTTAATATTCACTAAATTGGCAATGTTACCTTTTAAAAAAGATTTTATTATTTTTATGTATACGAGTGTAATTGTAATGCCTGCATGTAGATAGGTACACCCATCTCATGCAATGCCCATAGAGGGCATCAGATCACCTGGAACTGGAGTTATGGATGGTTATTAGTTGCCCTGTGGGTTCATGGGATTTGAATCTCAGTCCTTTGCAAGATCAGCCATTGCCCTTAACTGCTGAGCCAGTTTTCCAGTTCCCAATGTTGCCTTTTTATTTCATGCTGTTTTTGGAGATGATCTCTTTATTTAGTAAACTATATATTTGGCAACTCATGCCAGGCACTGCTTTAGACTCTGGAGATAGAATATGTAATAATATCTGGTAAAGAACTCATATCTAAGATACATAAAGAACTTATACAACTCAGTAATAGTGACAATACTTGAAAATAGTCAAAGGATTTTAATAAAGGTATTTTCTTGATCAAAGTCATAAAAGTAGCCAATAAACTGAAAAGATGCTCAACATCATTAGTCAATTAGTCATTAGAGAAAGGGCTCTTCAAATCATAGTGAGAAACTACCTCACACCCACTAAGATGGATTTAATTTTAAAGACAGACAATAGGTACGCTTGTTTTAAAGACAAGTGTTAGTAGGAACTTATAGTATTTAGAACTTTATTACTGGTGGGATTGTTAAATGGTGCAGCTTGATGAAAACAGTTTGAGAATTTCTCAACACATTCAAGGTAGAAGTACAACGTGACTCCTACGTATGCCTGAGAAAAATGAAAACATACATACATTTTCTAAAAGTTGTAATTGTTGCACAACCCTGTGAATTTACTCAAAAACATTGAATTATTTGTTTTAAATGAGTTGTGTTGTATATGAATTTTATTTCAGGAAACCTGTTAAAATATGATAGATTCATGAATCAAAGATTTTCAGTAGAACACAGAATTATAAGACTAGTGTCTATAGATGTTGAAATCAGTGATGATTATGATAAAATATTGCTGGAAAGAGACAATGAATCAGGATCCAAATTTTAAAATAAAGGGAACCAATCAGCAGGACAGTAATAATTGCATCAAGAAGGAATATATGTAATTTGATGACATAAGATATAAAGAGGAATGCTTATATCATTAAGAGAGGAAGAATGTTCTAGAGGTAGAAATGAAGAACATGAATACTTCATGTTCAAGTTGCCAGATAAAAGAGGATTTTTTTGTTTTGTTTTGTTTTGTTTTGTTTTGTCTTTTTTTGAGACAGGGTCTCCCTGTAGCCCCAGCTGGCCTGGAACTCACTGTGTAGACCAGGCCTGCCTTGAACTCACAGAGATCCTCCTGCCTCTGCTTCCCAAGTGCTGAGACTAAAGGCTGTGCTACCACACCCAGCTTCAGATAAAACTGTCTTGGAAGAGAAAGCCACTAATAAATGATAGCGCCTATCAAGGAAGCATTAATCAGGGAGACTGTATATTACATAGACTTTTATATTGACCAGAAAACTGTTTTGAAGTACATCAACTTTTTAAATACTTTCAGTTTCTTAAATGGTTTTTTTTCTCCCTGCTGTTGTTTTCAGTAACACACATTGTGGAACTTGCATGTTTTATAACGAGTTAACTGATCAAATTAGTTCTTCAAACTTAACTGTTTCTCATTGCTCATGTATAAACTACAGAACTGATAGATTATGGTTTATTCAGGTTTTTGTAATAAATAAAGAGATGTGTATATTTGCCAGAATGTATTTCTAATTTATAGCTAGTTTGTCATCACAATAGTTTGAATATCACCTATTACAAAGGAGTGGTTTGTAGATTGTTGTGATATAATCATGACAGTATTTTCAGGAAAAATACATTTCTCTGAAATTTACTTTTTTTAAGTCTTTTAATAAGCATAGTATTTTATTGACCATTTAACACATTTAAAGGAATACAGAGTTCACATGAAAAGATTTCCTAGTGAAAGCAACATAATTGATTTCACAATTGTGAAATAGTTTGCTCATCTTTGAAAAGTCAGATCCTAAAAATGGTACAAGATTTCTTAGTGACAGGACAGTTTTTTGTTGTTATTATTCATGTAGGTCCCAAAAGTTTTAGAGGACCGGATACCTGTATCAGTGATCCAGAGATCTGATGAAGTATGCCTTAAAACTCATTCAGTTAATAACTCCATTCCTAAATTTGTCAATTTAGGCCTCTCTAAAGTAAGATTTGTGAAAACTATAGATGTTTGTGTTTAGGTGTGTCTTTTCATATGTGTTACGCACATTTATGTGGAGATCATAGTCCAACCTTGGGTGTCGTTTCTTCTGTGCCGTCCACCAGTTTTTGAGGCAGGGTTTCTTCATTGCCAACAAACTGCCAAGTAGATTTGACTGACTAACCAGGAAGCCCCAGCCAGCTGTCTGTCTTTACCTTCTCAGTGCTGGAATGATCAGTGTGCCCCACATTGCCCAGCTTATTTAGTGATCAAACTCAGATCCTCCTGCTTGCAAGGCAAGCACTTCACTGAGAGTCAACTCCTTAGGCCCTTATGTCATTACTTAAAGCTATGTAATCCATTAATGTTTTTTGGCCATAAGGTAACTCAATACTCAATTACTCAGGAAAGTTGTGGTTTTCAAAATACAAAAAATTTAAAGGGAATAAATTCATTACTATCTTTAACGTTCCAAGCAGAAGCATCTTCAAAATGATCAGAAAGATACTACCATGAAATTGACCATTCATAAAAGATGCTGGTTATTAGTGATATAGTTTCTTGTTTTTTTAAAGATGGGATCTCAGTATGTAGCCCAGTCTACCCTAGAAGTCTCTGTGTAGTGAGCCTGGACTTAAACTTGTCATCCTCCTACTCAGCCTCCCAAGGCCTGGGATTACTCTCATGTGATAGTGGTTTTGTTGTTTTGAGCCAGGGTCTCACTATGTCTCCTGTAATACATGGAGCTCCTGCTGTCCTTCTACCTCAGTACCCCCCTCACCACCATTCCATGAGTGCTTGAATTTCCTGCAAGTGCTACCATAACCAGTGTTAACAAGGGATCCTATTGTCCTCCTAACTCAGTACTCCCCGTCCCCATCTTTTGAGTGCTAGGATTACCTGCATGTGCCACCATGACCAGCATTATGATACTTTCTGACTGAATAACAGTGTGTTCTACACAATACATTTAGAGTTTTGTTATCGAGCCTGATTTTAATCATGCCTTATTTTCCCCCATTTTGCAAATGAAAACTTTGAGACCTAAAGAGGTAAATAATTTACACAAAACCACTGCAGATGGTAGAACTATGAGTCAAACATAGTTTTATCTGGCCTTAAGATCTTTCAGTTTCACTGACTTGATAAGTCTAAAACATAACTCTCTACTTTCTGTCAAAAACTGAGTTTATAATAGTTGATTACTTGTTCAGAGGAATAGATCATTTTGCTAATTTTGGAATTTTCTAAAAAATATGCCTATTTCTGCCAGTACTTCCTAACCCTTTTTCTTCTTTGTTATGTTAGGACGTCTTGCATGGCTGATATACTTAGTTGGTACAGTTGTAGGAGGGAGGTTAACGTACACCAGCACAGATGAACATGATGCTATGGATGGGGAATTATCCTGTCGGTAAGTAGTGGTAATAGAATTTACAGAAATTTACCAAACATTTAAAATTTTAGTTGTTAGTTTTGTAAGGCCAAATGTGGCCTTTAGATAAAGATGTTATTTCCTTTTTCTTCATAAGAAAATCAGTACCTAGAGGTTAAATGATTAGAATTTGATTCTTCAACAGATGTACTCAATTTTCACCTAGTGACCACAGCCATAATAAGCTATTGGGTTACTCATCACACACTATCTAAACTGAGGAAAATTCCTGTGTCTGAATGAGATGAACAACTTGGTTTTCCACATATTTTAATTGAAGAGCATATTTCTTGCTCAGGCATCCTTTTTTTTTTTTTTCATTTGGTGAAGGCTTGAAATTCAAATGAAAATAAATATGTATGAATTTGAAGAGTACTTCTGTAATTTTTGTAAAGACTTTGATTCTTTTAAATTAATGTGTGTGGGTATATATATACTGCATGTATATTTTCAACATTTTTTAAAAACAAATTGTTGGGTTGGATGTGGTGGCACATACCTTTAATCCCAGCTCTTAGAGATTGAGGCCAATGTGGTCTACATTGTGAGTTCCAGGTCAACTAGTGCTACAGGGAGATTCTGTCTCCAAAAAAAAAAAAAACAAATAAAACACAACAACAAAAATAAATAAATAAAAATAAATATTACAATGCTTTATAAACAAAAAAATGGAGTTATCTAACTAATTTGGGGCTGTTATAAGATTAAAATGTGTAACATTTTTTTTATAATGCTTAGAACAGTGCCTGGTAAATAGTGATGTATTTTACACACACACACGCACACACACTTCTTTAAGCATAATGTTGTAAACATTTAACTTGTAAATTAAATAATCTAACCTATACCATAATTTTGACAGGCCTTTGACTTTCAAGTTCTATATTTCTTAATTTTTCTTTATTATAAATTGCTTTCAAGTTAACATTGTTTTTATATAGATTGAAAGAATTTCATTAGCTTTAATTCCTGAAAACTGAAGAGTTCATCTAAGTGTCAGTAGCATTTTAAGGACTCATCATAAGTAAATAAATGACCTCTGGAAGAGTTGTATATGTTCAGTATCCTTAATCTGAAAACCTAAAATCCACAATGCTTTAAAACACAAAACTTTGAGTTCTAGCATGACCTGCAAATATTCCAAAATCTAAAAAGCCATGAAATCTGAAATACTTAGTGTGTCAAATATTTGAGATGAGGGCTACTCAAACTATGTGAATTTATTTTCCAAATCCAAAGCCTATAGACATCATTCTTTCTCAACTGTTGAATACTAGATAGTAAAGTATTGTTTCTAGTTTTAAATGACAAATGGCTTATGTTAATTTGTATTTCTTTAATTCTATATGGCATCTGACATTGTTTTTCACTCCTGTTTTTACTTTTTCATATATATATGTGTGCGTGTGTGTGTGTGTGTATATACACACATACATATAGATTCTATTATTTACCCCACTATTTTGCATGTGTGGTGTATATACATGTGTTTGTGCATGTTCCTGTGTGTGGCTACATATGTGTATGTGTAGACATGTGCATATATGTGTGTGTGGAGGCCCAGAATTGACACCTGGCATCTTCCTTGATCAGTCTCCAATTTATTGACTGAGGCAGAATCTATCACTAAACTTGAAACTTGCTAATTCCAGCTAATATAGGTAACCAGTTTGCCCCAAGGGATGCCTTGTCTCTGCCTCCTGAGTGCTGGGGTTACAAGTAGCCACCACACCCACCTAACTTTTACATGGCTCTGAGGATTTGAACTCTTGTCTTCATACTTGCATAGCAAGCTCTATATTCACTAAGCTATCTCAGGTCCTACGTCACTTTCTTTTGTGATTGTCTTCTAAAATTGATTTATTTTTAAATTTTATTTAATTTTTATGTTTATGAAATTATTGCCTGCGTGCATGTAAGTACACCCATTTCATGCAGTGCCCGCGGAGGTCAGAAGAGACCTTCAAATTCCCCTGCAACTGGAGTCATGGATAGTAGTCAGCCACCATGTGGGTGCTAGGAATTGAACCCGGGTCTTCTGCAAGAGCAGCCAGTGCTCTCAACCTCTGAGCCATTTCTTCAACCCCCTAAAAATTACTTATAATAGCTCAGTATATATTACAGATCTCAATATTTACTATTCAAACTGCAATCCATTGCCACCTCCATCTTCTACTGGTTTGTAATGCCATTTATATCTTACACAAGATTCTTGTGTCTCTTACCAGGTCTTTCATATCTTTCCTTTGATCCTAGAAGTCTGTATCATCCCAGTAAAGTTTTTAAAACCATTATATTTAGTTGTTAATAGTTACATTATTGTTCTTAAATGCAGTGTGTGTGTGTGTGTGTGTGTGTGTGTGTGTGTGTGTGTGTGTTAGTTCGTGAATGATGTATGTGCAAATGTATATGTGGGGATGCATGCATTTGGAGTCCAGAGGAGAACATTGGGAGTCTTTCTCTATCACTTTCCACCTTATTTTTTGAGACAGTTTCTTCATTGAATCTGGGGCTCACTGTTTTGACTGGCTGGTCCATGAGCTCCTGGGATCTGCCTTTTTGCCCCTCAGCTATAGGATTAATAGCACACAGGGCCATGCTGGCTTTTATGTGGGTGCTGGGGATCTGAATTCAACTCCTCTTGCTTATATAGCAAGCACTCTTAGCTACTGAGCCATCTCCAGCCTTGAATATATTCTTAAGTTTTTGATAAATCTGTTGTAATTTTGAATAGAATTCTTTTAAAATAAAAATTGAATCTGAATATAACAAATATTAGTTTTGTTAAGATTTATTATTTCCTACACTGTTACTTTTAAATATGAATTACAATGTGGGGTCTTTTAAAAAAATGTTCACATAACCTTTAAAACATATGAAACATGTCTTGTGCCTTCTTTTAAGTAACATATGCTTCATGAAGTAAAAATGACGTGTTTTGTGTTATGGTTATTTGATATTTTAGAAGTTTTCATCATTAAGCCAGAAATACATATGGCACTATTTCTTGAAAAACACAGCAGGTATCTACTGGCTAATTAGAAAAAATTACATTTTTTCTTTAGATAACAAACATATTTAACTTGAACTAAGGTTTATGGTTTTTAGTAGCCTGTATTCCGTAGAAAATAAGGTTAAGTGGAATTTATGGGATAGTATTTTATTGCAATGTTGAGATAAGTTGTGTTTCCCAGAGTAAAGAAAAGAGAAAAAAGAAAATAGGTGCAAGGACTAGAGAGGGTGTTTGATCCTTATTATTTGGGTTTCTGTTTTTGTGACCTGCCTTCATGATAAATTTGTTTACAACCAGCAAATCAGTTCCCATGGCTGTTTTGCTATCATTTGTAAGTATGTATATAGGGATAAAACCACCTGAATTGCCTGTTGCTCAGGTTCTCAGCTAAGCATAAAAGACAGTCTTTTGCGTTCTTGTTTCAATACTCACATTATAAATTAACATCCTTTTGCAGGCTCCTTCGTGCCACATTTGTCATGTTTCTGTGCTTTTTGTGCTTTCATTCCCTAAAATGGCCCAACTATGGTGTTGAAGTGCTGTTTAGTGTTCCTGTACAAGAAGGCTGTCATGAGCCTTTCAGAAAAAAATACATAAGAAACTTGTTCCAGACATGTTTCTTAATACTATTTCCTGAGAGTTCTGTGATAACAAATTAGCAATATGTATTAAGTAAGGTGACTTTGATGTGTCTTTGAAAAAAAAAGACAGATGTATCATGAAGGTTAGTAATGTTATTGACAAAAATGGGACCTGAGGCATAAGCCTAACCCTCTATTTCTCCCACAAGCAGCTATTGAGTATTCACTGGTCCAGTGTTCTCAATTAGTACAGACCATAACAACCATGAATAATGAGAACCAATGAATACAGTAGAGCACTACTGCAAAAACACAGTTGGTTGCTTGCTTTTATAGGAATTTTCCCCTAGAGGCCACATTGAACCACTGTGCCTCAAAACGGCCCATAGTAGGGAGTTACTAATGACAAGCGACTTATCTGTTGTCTTGTTTCTGTGTCCTGTTTCTTATTGATTGAAGTCTATCCCTGGGGTCTTTAACATCTCACACTGCTTAGTTGTGTTTGAGGAGAAGCTGGAGAAGCGGTAGAGCTTCCTATAGTCCCTGTTGAGTTGGCTAGAGTTGAGATGGGTCTTTGTTCTTCCCTGGTGAGGAATTATAACTATAGGGATTGTGTGAATCTTTACTGGGGTCTCAAGATAAGTGGATGAAATCACTCATGGAATGAGATTGTGGGAGGTTAGTGGTTATATAAGCAGGGCCACACTAATTCAAAGTGGGGTGTATGCTAAGGTTTGCAATTTGTTTGCAAACAACATAAATATTGTGTTTTATAATACTGAGATTCTATTATGTAAAATTTCAAAATAATACTTTCATTCTCAGTAATTAGAACCATAAAACTATCTCCTCTATACAGTTCTTCACTTCATTCAAATAGCACCTCAGACATATCTCTTTGAAGAAACCTTCTCTGACCTCCCTATTCAAATACCATCCTTACCTTGCTTTAGCTTTCTTCATATTACTTATTATCTCTGTGTGACTTGTGCATTTTACTAGACGAATGGAGGAAATAGACATCAACTCTTTTGTTCATTGATATATTTTCTCTTCTGCTTAGCAACCCTGAGGGAGTTTAGGGTTTTGTGTAGTATGCTGATAAAAGATATTGTACACATTTGTGGCTAGATGCCCTAGTCGGCTGACATGCTTCCAATTGTAGTGAGCCCTCAGCATTATTCATTGTTTCTCTTGTTTCAGTAATTCTAGTCTTCCAACTTTTCACTAGGATGTTCTACACTATGTGCACCTTCACTCACTGATTAAAGTTAAACCCATGTCTTTATGTCTTCTTCCAGCCCTGACTCTTCATTTCTCATGACTGACCCCACAGTTGCCCAAACCTGAGAGTTATGCCCATCTTTTCTTCATTTCTGTCTCCA